AGAGAGAGAGAGAGGGTTCCAAAAGGGGTTGAAAAGGGTTTTCTCGAGGCTGTTTTAGGTTCATGGCGTTTTGGGTTGAGGTAAAAAGGTACTTTAGGGTAAGGGTTACTTCTGATTACGTCAGAGGCGTGAAGGTCGCATGGCTACCCCAAAAAATCCCCGCGCCCCCAAATCATCCAGAATGGCGTAGTAGTGGTCGGGCACTATAGTAGCAGCTGCTACNNACCACCACCACGACGACGACGACTATTACTACTACTACTACTACTACTACTACTACTACTTCTACTTCTACTTCTACTTCTACTTCTACTTCTACTACTTCTACTGCTTCTACTGCTTCTACTACTTATTAGTAAACCGGACAGGACATGCAACAACAGAAGTGGTGCCCGCTGCGGCCCTTCTCAGATGGCCTTGAATCATGGTGGGTTTTCTGGTCCCATGACACAAGTAGTACAGAATCGGCCTCAGGGGGGGTTCATAAATCTTAAAAATATGCGGTTTAGGGTTTAGGAGGGTTTCGGTATTCGGTTTCAGGGTTGAGGTTTCCGATTTTCAACCTTACACCCCAAAAATAAGCCTTAGGCCTCACTGTCGTGGAAGGCGTGCCACAAGTGCTCCATGGGCACATGGAGCAGCCAGGAGGGGGCCATCTCCCCTGAGGCCAGCCTTGTCGAAAGGTCGGTCCTGTGTACCTGCAGCTCACATGGCTGCAAATTTCGAGGGTTCCTTATTGTGGTGTCTTGATGCCTTGGTTGCTATGTAGCTCCTTAAGAACAGCAGGGTTTACTAGGGTACAGGCGGTAGGGTGTAAGCTTGCGGTGAAATGCCAGACCTGGGCCTATTTACAGGATCCCGCTTGATCGGCATACATATCCCTTGCCAGACGAGGGGCAAACCCTAAAACCCTAAGCCCTAAACCTTAAAGCAACGTGCTTTCGGTGTTGGTTTATCGGACTCGCTGCTCAGGCTTGCCAACCATGCCCGAAGGGGAGGTGGAGCAACAGGACGCATGTGAAGGGGTGACCTACGACCTACGAGTTTACTACTGCTTCATAGGGTTTAGGGCCCAGGTCTCAGGCATTACTGCTGTCGTTGCTGTCATCCTGATTACCGTGATGGTGTTGAAGGAGTCAAGGGGGCAGAATAATAATAATAATAATATTAACAACAATAACAATAATAGTAATAGGGCTTCGAAGCCCCGAGGCCGGCTTTCGGCTTGCAGCCCGATGCTGGTTTCAACACTCCGAGGGGTAATGGGGCAAGGATGATCTGCAAAGTTCCAATGCTTTTGTTGTCGACCGAAATCCCGTCAATCGCTTAATTTATCCACCCAAGACCCATGCAGTGAGCCCTAAGTCTCATACTCTAAACCTGAATTCAAGCACATCAGCCCACAACCCTTAACTCTGAACTGCAGTGCGAATACAAACCAAGAGACCGCGTTTGGCCGAGTCCGAGTTGCGAAAATTTAACTCTGAACATTGCCGACCAGGACGGCCGCCTCCTCTATCTTCGACTGCAACTTCTGCCCTGCGGGCACCTGGAGCTCCGAGGAGGGCGCGTCCTCCACGAGCCTCAGCTGAAGAAACCGGAAGGCAAAGTGTCCGAGCTGCTGCTTATTATTTTTAAATTTGTGGGGTGCAGGTTTCGGGAGTTTAGGGCTTTTGATTTCGGGGGGTTCAGGCCTGACGGAGACCGTGACAGACGCGACACAAGGCATGAGCCTGCAGCTCAGGGCTTAGGGGTCGTTTCCGCGGTGCCATTCACCGTCCACGTTTCAAAGAGCTAGGCTGTTTCGCATTTGTTTCCACCTGAAGCGAGGCGCACTGCAATGCTGCCGTTGGTCCCAACTTGTCCCAATTGAAGACAAGAGGAAAGAGAGAATGTCTGAACCATGCGAGCATGATTGTAGCGACACGGAAAACGCACCGCAACATGCGCCGGCCTGAAACACCCCCGAAGTCAAAGAAAGACCATACGGAACGGCCGGCAGAAGGAACCAAACGACACGATGTTGCGTGGTCGGCAACTTGCTTCGCGGTCTCCTTCCACGTGTAAGCCTGGGAGGGACAAGTCACAAGAACACAGAGCTGTAGCTCTGAATGGATTTCGGCCCGTAGCATGGAGGGTAGAGCCGAAATCCCAAGTTCCCAGCTGTTCCGAGTTCATTGATGCATCATGTGAGTGTCAGGAAGGTGTGCCGAAAGTGCGCACCCGGCATGTGGAGCCCTATTCTCGGCGCTACAGAGGAAGAGGCTTGGATTGGACTGCCTCGAACTTTTTTGGAGTGTTCTTCTGCTTGAGCTTTCTATTTCCGTCAGACCAGGACTGAATTGCAGCAGTGGGCTTACTCACACATCGGATTTCCCTGCGCTGCTTGAAATGAGTCGCGGCGGGCTTCCGTACTGCGGGAATTGTTATGGAGCAACTCCATGGCAGTAGAACTGTTGTCTTTCCATGAGATGGCAGGCTTGCGTGGGCTGTCCGGCTGGCCGGTTCAACTCCAAGGACTGCTCCGAACATCTTTAGAGTGACCGCCCAGCTGGTGATGGCTACCATCAGAGACATAAGCCTCAATGTCTCTTCTGCATCTGATACAGTGCATCTTTAAGCCCTTCTCCTACCGCAGGTAATGGGATGCTCAACACAACGACACCTCGAGACCCTCCTGCGATCCTTCAGGAGGGTGCCGGAAGCCCGGGTGACTGCATCGCGTGCGCCGCCGGGACCTTCAGCGATGTCGAGGGCGCTGCCTCCTCAAAGGCCCGATCCCGTCCTTGGGATGTCTTTGTGCGCACTTATCTTTACACCTCCACCCACCTTTGCATGTTGACCAACATGTCTCGGTGTACGCATAGATGTGTGCGTCTATGTACGTGTATATAATTTAAGTATCTGTTTGTCCATATATCCATCTATCTATCGATCCGTCGCCTACGTACTACATCTACCTACCCACCTATCTATTCATTACTCGTCTATCCACCTGGGACTGTCAACCAGGGACGGAGGAAGATTCAGGGTTCCGCCAACTCATTGAAGCTGGGGTTTGCCGGCACCCTGACCCTCGACCTGCCCTGTCCGCCAGCTACATCAAGGCCGTAACATGCCTTGAATATCCTGGAAAAGAACGACACACAAGTCATTATAGGGATCATCCGAGGGATGGTCCGAGTGATGGGGATAACAAAGTCGTCGTTGTCGTCGCCACCATGACGATGGTGATGATGATGACAGAGACATCGACGACGACTATGTTATCGTTGTCGTTGTGTGTGTGTGTGTTTTTGTTTTTGTGTTTTTGTTGCCGCTGATGCCGCTGCTGCTGCTGTTGCTATTGCTGTTGCTGTCGTCGGAATAGTAGTTAGTAGTCGTCGTCGTCGTAGTAGTGGTGGTGGTGGTGGTGGCGGTGGTTGGTGGTGGAAGTAGAAGTAGTAGTAGTACTACTAGTACTAGCAGCAGTAGTGGTAGTAGTAGTAGTAGTAGTAGTTGTTGTTGTTGCAGTAGCAGTAGCAGTAGCAGTAGCAGTAGCAGTAGTAGGAGCAGGAGCAGTAGCAGTAGTAGGAGCAGTAGTAGGAGCAG